CTTATCATTTAAAAAACAACTTAATCCTTCTGTAAAGTAGAATAAAATCTTTCTAGCGCTAAAAGAATCTGCCAAATAGAGCCACCTACTAATACAGAAAAATCAATAGATAACTATCAAAGCTTGAGCTGTGTAAAGATTTTAAAATAAAAATGCAGTAAATGAATAAAGGTTATAAGGCACAAGAACTATGAAGATAGAATAAAATATTCTATATGATGTGTTATGGAAATAAACTGTGGCTAAAGAAACAAAATTAACACTATTTCTTTCCCTATTTCCAAAATTAACACTATTTCTTTTCCTATTTCTCTTTTCTTATAATAATCTTTTCACAATAAATTCCAGTTTTCTCTATTTTAAATAGATGATTACTATTAGAATTTACAATGTAGAAATCTATATTTAGAAAACTGAACTGGGATCCATAAGCTCGTTGGACAATATTAATATCTCATGACATTTGGAATACAGATGAGAAATCCCCTAAGTATCATTCAGATAACTGGAATAAAACAATTTTGAGACAAAGACTACATATCTATATCTATATCTATATCTATATATATATATATATATATATAAAGATATATAAAGATATAGATATATATGTGTGCACATATATAATCATATTGATATAGATATATGTCTATAGAGAGCTACTTACATATATAAATATAGAGATATATATGTGTATATATAAATCATTTGACTCCCAATTTATATTATTAATGTATAAAAATATACATGTGATTATTTTCAATGAATGAAGTCTATTATTTATATTTCAAACTGATAAAGCAGAATGACCATTCAGTATTGTAAGTGGGAATGTAACTAAATGTCTCACCCGATTTTAGATCAATAGGAATAAGACCACTTTGTCATTTTGTCTTTATATATATAGGTTATCACATGCCGGGCAGCCATTGCCTGGACAACAAATGCCCCCCTGTCTATTGAGAAAATTGAAGTTGATCCACCAAAAGCTGGTGAAGTTCGAATTAAGGTAAATATAAATGAGACTTTTAGTAGGCATGAATGCAGATGTGTGTTTATAATTATTTTGCATTTTAAGAGGAAAAAAATGACATTTTATATTTAAAGAAAATCAAGAATTCCTATGATTTACACCAGCTCTATATTACTGTATTTAATAGTAAGATCATTGAATTGTGTGAAAATGTCAGAAACATAAGGTACATAAATATTGAAATGTCACTAAATATTTTAAATATATTATTGTTTTTTAAATTTTGAAAATCTACGTGAGCAATTGTTGAATCATAAACCTCTTTTATTCACAATTATAAAGKTATTCTGATTATAACTGCTATGGTTTGATTGCCCCTTCCAAAACTCATGTTGAAATTTAATTGCCAATTTAAGGGTATTGGGAGGTGGTACCTTTAAGAGAAAATTAGGTCATGGAGCTATCATCTCATGAATGGATCCAGACTATTGTTGTGGGAGTTGGTTAGTTATCATGGAAGTAGGCTCCTGATAAAAGGGTAAAATCAGTACCCATATCTCTCTCTGTTTCACACAGGCTCACTTAGCCCTCTGCCATATTAA